TCCTGTATTATCCAAAATCCCTCAGTGACGAAAACCCCTGGTTGTCTTTTCCTAGCACAGAAATAACTAGCTTCTCATCATAGGAGCGAACGATATTTTTCTTCGTTACAACATTCACATAACTCCGTTGGCATCTTTGCGCAAAGTAACTAGAAAATATCCATCATTGGCATGCGCACATCCATCCCTGTGTTTAATAGTAGTTGCGATGATGCGATCAATTTTTTCCAAAAATATCTATGGAGCGTTCAAATCAGCTCGTGTGTGCATAGAGTAACATGGTGCAAAATTACTACGTGAAAAACAAAAAAGGTGAAACTGACAATGCACGACTGTTTATTCGTCGGCCCGCATAATGTTGCATGCTCAAATTAACCGTGGGTAATTAGTGCGGCGCGAAAAATCCATTGCCTAATTGCTTCTGATTTGAAGGTTATTAATCCGATTTCCTTCGTTTTATTTTGTTTTTTTTTCTTTTTTCCCTTTTTGTTTATTTGGCATTCGGATTCATATTATCGGATTCGGTTTGACAAGATCAGCTCCCAAACCAGTCGTTGAAACTGCAAATTCCTATATGAAAGATTTATTTGAAGGTTATTAATCCGATTTCCTTCGTTTTATTTTGTTTTTTTTTCTTTTTTCCCTTTTTGTTTATTTGGCATTCGGATTCATATTATCGGATTCGGTTTGACAAGATCAGCTCCCAAACCAGTCGTTGAAACTGCAAATTCCTATATGAAATATGATTCAATTGCATCGTCGCCGTGGGGCAATGAGTAGTTTGTCAACGCGTGAAGGCCATCTGGGAAGCAATTCACAAATGAGTGGTTACAGTTGTCTTCACGTGATGGTCTTCAAGATAATGGCTATCTGACTGCCGGCACATTCTCTGGGAGTCGTGGAGTCGCGGCACAGTAACATTGTAGTTTTCATTCGAAAATTTAAATATTGTACTGTTTATTCCGTCGAATTGGAACGCCAATATGCAATTGATGCAGGTATTGTTTACAACAACGACATGCGTTTCAGCAATGGGGAGATTAAAATAAATGAACTGTTTATACGAGAAGCTCAAAACCACCACTCAAAATCTGCCTGATGATGATTTACCAAAAGGTCTACCAGACGATCAGAGAAAAAGCTCCATGTTCTTTCAAAATTCATAATCTGTTTGAATTGACCGTAGTATCGCCTGGTCTTCGCACTATTTGACAATGATAGGCTCCGACGTTTCCAACGATTTAACTTTAATTTGTTTATATTGGGCAAGATGTTTAAGATTCCTGGCGATGTTACTGCCGTGGGAAGCTGGACATTCTAAGTAAACGTGGAGCGTATTGATAAATTTCCAAACGTACAAATTTATAACGTTTATTCAGATGGTGTAAGTTCGCCTTGGTTATTGCCCGTGTTTCCTGATCGACTGGTTGTTAGGTTAAACGCACAATTATAAACATACCAATAGGCTTGTTTCTACTTGCAATTTCTACATTCGGACCCTGTGCAAGTAAGACTGTATTGTTTGATATTTTGCTCTGAGTCTGAGCGAAATAATCCTGGGAAATTATGCATCAACTGGGATATGTCCGCCGATTTTGAAGATGATAAGCGCTAGCACAGTTTCCTCTGTGATGATAAATTGGTTTTAAATCGACGCAAAGTTTATGCATTCAAAGGGAGCAAAATGACGCGAAGTGATTTAAGGTGTCGTATATCTGTAGGTTTTCGGCCAAAAATTACTTCCGACTAGATAGTGGATGATATTCTCCAACATCCACTTTGGGAGGTTCCACAGGGTCCACACAATGAAAAGTATGCTTGACATATAAAAGACTAGTTGAATGTCTGCCTATTTCCGGGATTCTTGAAAAGTAAACAAACTAGTAACTTTGCGGCTTTTATCTGAATATTGAAAAGAAATTGAGCCAATCTGCCAATTACATGCACCAGTGCATAAAATGCAATAGTCGGCTTGGAGCCTAGTCGCGTCCTAAACACACATAACGGCGGTTCTCGGAACCCGATGCGATGTTGTGTATCATGATTACCGCTGTCAAGTCTGCTTGGCAAGCAACATTTTATTTACCCATTTAGTGACACACGACGCCACAATATGAAAACGGGTGACGTTTGTCACGAAGGATAGGGTCCTTTCAAATAAAATAAATCTGCAATTTCAATATCACTCACATTTTGTCGTGTGTTGATGAGTGCAGCGAATAACGAAAATCGTACAACGACGCCTCTTTCCGCTAGCTAAATTCCTCAATAAAAAACTTGTACATGCATGCTTGCATTGTCGTATGTTTCAAATTTTAATGAAGAATGATAATAATAACAGATGCGGTGTTTTTTCGTGCTTACCGCTGAATTATCTGTTTGATCACTCACCCTACCCCCACATTTAGTCGAACAAAATGTCAACATCTGGAAACCGGTAACATTTGCCAATTTCTATATTTGCAAAAAGTCAATCGTTTCATCAAATGAAAAAAGTCTGCATTTTTATTCACCAACCACGTTTTGTGAACGGCAGGTTGTTAGGTTCAGCGAATAATGAAAATTGTACAATAACGCCGGTTTCGATAACCTGAGTTTTTATTAGACACCTTGTACATGCATAATTACATTGTGTAATATTTTGCCTAAATTTGACTCGAATAATCGATAGAACCGGTACGTTGTTTGGTATTTGTCCGCCAATTCGCATGTTGTTGCGTGGCACCTCACTTGTTGATCTGTCAGAAATTCTATTTGCATGGGCGCAGAGCGAACGCGCTCGAAGGCAAAGAAAACGACAATTATTGCATTCAAACGTCACTCATTTGCAGATTTCCGGCCCGAAATTGCATCCAACCTGACAGTGCGGGAATACTGTGAAGGAATCCAAAGTTCTTCCAATCATAGAATTCAAAATAGTTGTTGGTCGGCTTGAGGGTTCGCCTTCACTTGGCGTTTCGTAACTCGTTCAATCCAGTTAGGTTCTGAAACGGCCTTGTTATTTCCCTTAGATTTAGGCGGAGTTACGTTCGGTGTGATATCCAGCGCTTGGTGTGGCCTGGTGGTGCCACAGGCGAAATTCTCAGCTCTTACATTCATCTTACAGTAATAGTTCACATCTGATGGTGGAGCATTTGGAAGAGACTCAAACATACGATTCTGATCAGTTCATCTCACACCAATATCTGATAGTCTTTCAGTTGCCAAGTGACTTATCCGCTCCCTAGGTGGCCCCAAAAATGTTAGGGAAAAACGACTGCGGATGGGTGCGTAATCGGAACCCAAAAATGTGTTCCAAAATGCTCGGTAGTCAGATATCGATACAGGCCATCGGTAACGGATGGCAATATGGCAGCTTGGAATCTGTAGCCGGTCTGCTGTTGGAAGCCAACATGCGACCAGGCTACTTTGTTTATTCTGGAAATTAGTAAAGCTTCAAACTGCTTTACATCAGTACACAAATGAAGCAATCGTACATCATTATCCGTACGTACCGAGTCCAATACACGTTGAACTATTGATTGAAAATCAGCTACGCTAGGCCTGCTCACTTCTGCAATCGAATCCTCGAAAACGAATAGGATGACTGAGCTTTTGCTAGGTGCGGCAGGGCAAAATAAAACCCACATTTAATGGCATAAAATAATGAAGATCAGTTTGAGGGTAGCCATGCACGATAAAGAAAAATCTACAAACTTCCAGCACTTGAGACTCCCCCACAGGCAATGCCAGACGGAATGCGCAAAGGTAGCTATCAGTCAGGAAAGAATATATCCGCTTGGTGACATAGGATGATACTAATCGCTGCGCAGCCTATAAAGCATCAGGAAATCGAAGACAGAAGCCAGTGGAGACTGCTATGGGGAGGTTAGCCAAATCGCAGTGCTTCCATCAGACTTAAGTGTTGGGCATGCACGAGTAGGGTTATTGTCGGGGTGAGGCAAGATGGAAGAAAAATGAGTAAAAGAGAGAAGTAAGACATCAGCAGTAGCCCGTTTTCTCTTAGTCATCCTGCCGTATGCAGAAAGTAAGCAACCAGGCTGATGGCGCCGTGCTGAAGTTTGATGAGGCAGCAGCTTACTCGTATGTCTGCATTTCATGGTTGCAGTTGAGTGTAATATATTCAGGATGCTCAATCCCAAACACAACGGCGACAAAGGTCCTCAACGAGAGCATGTGATTCAAAAGCCTAACCAAAAGGCAGTGAAGTTTGGCGCAAATGCATTATCAGTTCGACGCTTCATGCAGCCACATGTTCCAACATTCAATCCGATGGACCCCGGAACGTCTATCCACCAACCAACCTGATATGAGAGACCACGGTAAGTTCCAGTCGTTCCTTGACAGTAAGTTTCAGGTGACTGTTTAGTTGGCTTTAAAGTTTTGATGATGCTGCCTGTGAAAAGTAATCGACGCTCAACGACATATTTGGTCGACGTGTAATATTAAGTGAATAAATCTGCCAGTGGAAAAATTAAAATTTACTGGCAGCCTGGTTTTCCTAAGGCAGGCCACAAAATGCCCCCTAAACTGTCAACGACGACAGTGAGTTGTAACCAGAGTTTGGTTAACATCCCGTCAAAGCTTGTCTTCAAACGCTTTACCAGATTATTTTTTGGTTACCATCCCTTCAATGTTTATCTTCAACCGCGTTCACAGTCCCATTACTATCTCAGTGTTTACCTTCATCTACTCACATAATATGTTTAACGCATGCACAAATACTGTTTCACTATTGTTCTGATTATGTCATGAACAAGTTCTATTTCATAGAGAAGCAGCTTCGACGGGTTCCAAAATCACCTAAATGATCACGATATGTAGGTAAGCATGTAGGTTACTCTAAACTAAATAGGTACTGCCGTTTCAGGTTATCCGATGAAGCAAATAAGGATAACAAGTTTGGCTGGTCCCTACCTTCCGCGAACCATTTATTACCAGCGCAAATCCGAGGTCGTTACCCCGAGTTAAATGTCGTTTGATAGACTGCTTATCTATAGAACACCAATTCGGGCGCACAACGCTAAAAGAAGCTCGTGGCTGGGAAAAACTCGCCTGCCGACAAGCCTCTACGCGCGAACAATTCACTACCTCCTCCATGAATGTCTACGCAGGAACGTGCTGCCACCCAGTACTAATCACAGACCTGCGCTAGACCATCCGCAGGCGTGGGCCCTAGCAAGACAGTATGGCAGACGAATGGTTAAGTTAATGATAAAAGATGCCCACAACCGTCTCAAAAAATACGAAAGAGAACTTAACGGGAGCAAGACAAATTCTCTGACTAAAACCAGTCCTCAACACTTGGCAGAACTTGAAGCAGCAATCGGACGCCGAGTAGACAATGTCAAGATCAAACGCAGAGCAGCCATGGAGAAAAAATTGGGCAAGCTCACGAGGAACAACAAACACAATAATTACGACGCTTGGATCAAGAACTTATCTGGCCACCAACTCAGCACAGCTGAACAGGAACTGCTAATGAAAGGACTCAACTTCAACAAGGATTACCTAGCCAGCTGAGAACATGCCCTGAAAACAAACGAAATGTCCGAGAAGGTTAAACAACAAATACGACATATAACCGTACCGGCGATCACACGGAACAGAAACATGCAACTGATTTCCAAACAAGAACGAGGCGCACTCACACGTCTACGAAAGGATGAAACAATCGTAATACTGCCGGCAGACAAAGGATGCATCACGGTGATAATGGACAAGCCAGATTACATTGGAAATGCCAAACAACTGCTAAACGACAGCACGACGTACAAACCAATCGATCATGACCCAACTTCAAACATCAATAATCGAATCAACACGACGCTCAAGAAACTGCAAGAAACACACGAGATAACCAGACAGGAACGATTGAAAATGAAAGCCGATGAAAACAACATTGCGCAATTCCACGGACCACCAAAGGTACACAAAGAAGGAACTCGACTTAGACCGATCGTTTCACTTCCGGGAACCCCAACTTGCAAATTAGCAAAATGCATATGGAGAAGATTAAATCACTTAATCTCCGGATCGGAACACACAGTCAATAATGCGGGTCAATTCCTACACTAACTGCGGAACATCAGTATAGAAGACGAAGAAGTCATGCTTTCATTTGATGTCACATCGCTGTTCACTTCAATCAACCACAACCTCGCCAGGACAACCATAGTAGAACGGCTTCAGACTAAGCTCAACACGACAGGAACCATGAAACACGAAAGTTTAGGCAAACTGCTAGACTTTTGTATGGATACATAATTTGACAAATATATCAACAGCTGAAAGGAACTCCAATGGGATCTCCAATATCAGGATTTATTGCTGAGGCAGTAATGCAAAGGTTAGAGCATGCGGTACTGCCGATCATCAATCCAAAACTTTGGATCCGCTACGTGGACGACACATTTGTCATCATGAAACGGGATTCAGTGCACGAGGCACATGAACTGCTAAACACAACTTTTGAAGATATCAAGTTTACAATCGCACTGGAAAGAAACAATCGGCTACCATTCTTAGAACTTCTAGTGAACAGAAAGATGGATGGGACTCTGGAAACCTGTGTACAACAGAAGGAGACTCTTGCAGATCAAATCCTGAACACAACAGCAATCATTTTGTAAACCAAAATAAGTGCTGCGAGCAAACTTTGTTCAAGAGGGCGGAGACACACTGGAGCACCACAGAACTGCGGAAGAAGGAAGAAAACCATCTGCTCAAAGTATCCCAGAACAATGGATATCCAAGGAATTTTATCAAGAGTAGCTTGGAGAAGACACCCCAAACCACGGCCACAGCAAGAACAAGCCACCAGACGGGCAGTCCTGCCTTACATCAAGAATGTATTGAGAACTCGCGACCAGATTATTGGCTAAAAAGGAATATTTGTTGCCCACAAACCGAATGCCACCCTGAGGAAATTAATCTCTAGACCGAAGGATAAAACCAAGAAGAACAATGTGATATACCAACTCAACGGCAACAACTGCAACAAATTCTACGTCGGACGAACTGGCAGGAGACTATGCCCACGAACAAAGGAATACAACACGGCCGCCAGGAGGCATGACTCCCTGTCCTTGATATCCAAACACGAGGACCAACAAGGCCACAAATTCAACGTCGAAAACGCAGAAATGTTGGCATGCGGAGGCACGAGGCACGGAAGAGTATTTCTGGAAGCATGGTACTCCACGGCAAATTCGATCAACCGGTGCATCTAACTAGACCCAATTTGCGCACCTCTACGTGCAAAAGACCAACAACTCAACCGGAAAACTCAAGGACGACCGAGTATTGGATTCACGAAGACGAGACAAGGAACTCCTTGAGGGCAAATCAATAAAGGTCACAACCCAGGTCTGGAAAGGACAAAGGTTAATCTAGCATCGACCAGATTACGACGGCAGGGGATGCCAAGCTCAAAGGTCACGTGGGCATCGGCGAATGGGGATACAGGACAACGGAGCAACCAATGGAGTGTAGCAACACCAATTTTTGGTTACTAATATGTCATGAATTAGTCAATATTTAACGTGCTTCGTCCATGACATTCACCGAATCATCTGCGCCGTTCTCCTTTACCGGCCGAAAAGTTTTATTTAGAGCATTCCAATATTTCATATTTCCAAATAGTGAGCCGCTATGTATAAAGATGCTCCAGTAAATACCAGCTTTCAACTTACAGCAAAATTAAAATTACACTCATGTGAAACCTAATTAGTCTCATACGTGCATGTATGCATCATCAAGGGTGGTCTATTTATAGATATAAGGCACATTGCAGGTGTTTGTGGGAGTACATTGGGTACATCGGTATTCTCAAACGGGAAAATTAAATGCGGGATATTTAATCAATTTGAGAAACCCAAAAGACACGTGTTCATTCAAATATCGTAATGTTCAGAATTCAGAAACTCGGCAAATGACAGTCAACGAGTCATTTGGTTCTTTTCTAGTTCGGAACCATCCCGGCAAATGACAGTCAACGAGTCATCTGGTTCTGTTCAAGTTGTGGAACCATCCCCCACCCAACATCTGCACAAGTAATGACAGAATGTCTGATTACCTATTGAGGTTTGTTTTTGTGGTACATGGGACCGTACAAAACAAAACGCCGTCTTTTTGGAATTATGAGACCACTCTTTGGCTCTCTCTCTCCTGATAGAAGCTCAACACAGCGTCTCAAATTCTTCGAATGGCAAACGTTCAACGAAATCCACAGATACCCATCGGTTACTGCCTTCAATAAAGGCAACATTAAAAACCCCCGAACAGAATATGCTAGCTGAAACATTTTGCCTACAGTGGCCCCAACACTGTTCACAGTGAATGCACAGATCCGTCCTTAAAAATTGCATTCAATCACACTGAGCATTGTGTGACAATATAATGGCTGAAGTTTCGTAGAAAGCCAGTGGCTCGTACATGACTCGATTATTTTTTTCAGTATGCCTGTTCAAACGCTGCCGGAAACCGTGGTGTTTTCAGGATTTTGGGTTGACTCCATGTGAACTTGTTTACATCTGAAGGCCTTGTCACGTCGGAAGCAATTTACCTATCAACCTGCTGCTTCTTCATTCAAGTAGAGCAAAAGAGAACACGCAGCAGATGCGATGTTTCGCGGGCATCTGCATCAAATTATTATGCTTACTGTGTACGAGTTATTAAATTTTTTTGTGCCTTTCAACGATTAACATTAAAAATAGAAAAAACTCTGAAGCGCTAGTAACTGATATTAGTCGAAATTCAATTATATTCTCAGAATTGATTCATGTAGACCAAATGTTCAAGGGTAAATCCCCGTGTCGCATTTGGTTTTTATGTCTGACTAAATAACAACGCATTCCGCATCTTTCCGCTTGTGGATAACCGCCTACAGAAATAATTATTTACAGACATGTGGCAGTTAGGACTTGGAAATTCAAGCTTGGTAATACATATGTCAGCATTGTGTTGGACACCTATGCAAGCGCACACAGCATAAGCTATAAGGCTTTGATTCAAAGAGATCCAACAACCCAGTTGCATTTTTGTGGATCACGTCGGATACCCCTTCTTGTGTAACATATGACCAATAGTGTATGAAAAAATTGAAATGCACGAGATACGTAATATATGATTCTATTAGGAGACATGAAAACTGGTGGCTGCTGATGACCGCTCGATGTGACCCGGAAAACAGTATGAGTGGTTAAACGTTTTGTAAGGAATTACAGCTATTTCATGTCAGATGCATGTATCCAGGAGTTAAGCAGTTGATGTACTGCAGCAGTGCGTGCCCGTTCTCAAATGAGAATCAGGAGTGGTCCAGAACCTCTCAAGTACACAGAAAACAATAAGCTCCCTTGTATTTTCAATGGTTTTCAATGCACATCCCGAGAAACAAACAAACGTTTGGATAGCAGCGCAAGATCTCGACCGTGAACTGGGGATTTCTCCAATCAAACAACAAAATTAATGATTTGATGCGCGAGCTATTCTCCATTGAAACGACTATAAATCAACTCGCCATGTTAAGCCATAAACGACAACGGGGATTTCTCCAATCAAACAACAAAATTATTGATTTGATGCGCGAGCCATTCTCCATTGAAACGGCTATAAATCAACTCGCCATGTTACGCCATAAACGACAAAAACCAGCCAATTCGCTGAACGGCGGAAACACATGAAGGAGGAATATAGATATGCTTGCGCTTTGAAAAGGAAATTTGTTTTTTACAGCACAATGGTGCTTCCTACTTGTCGACCCATTACGTGCAAGACCTATTTCAGTTGCCGGGGATCCAAAACGATTTGCAGGATATGTTTGGGTGTGAAATTTTGATTAAAGAAGAGACTGCGTGACGTTATTTTCTCGCGTATTCGAAATTACCCCATTGTTATTAATTACCGAAAACAGCAAACAGTGCGATATGATGCTTGCTTTTGCAGATACTTCTACAGACGCTGTCCCAGTTTTCTCACTACGCAAAGCAGTTGTTTGTGAGTTACGCGATGCCTTGTTCCTGCGCCGGATTAATGTCAGAGTTCGCCATATATTGAGGCAGTCAGGTTGTCTTTCACGAGGATGTACCTTGATATTTTTGCGACTAGTATTCCGTCAAAATTTGAACACCGTCGGCTTTCTCATATAGTTTTATCAGAGTTTGGCATGGAAAGAAGGGAGATTAGAGAAATGCGGCTGATTGTTGAGAGTGGTGTTGTTTCTTTGTGAACATTTGGGCGTCCGGCCTCTCATTTCCTAGCACTCTTCTCTTGTGATCCTTTGGAGCTCTAGGGGTTTCTTCAGTTTTTATTGATTTCGTCCGCAAGTTTTTTGCTTTGGTCGTTCTAGATGCGGCGATACGTAGTCGTGTCGTCCAGCAGAGCGTTCGCTTTATTGATGTAGTCCGATTTGCTCATGATGACTTTCAGGCGTCCCGTGTCGGCCGGTGAAATGAAGATTATCTCGTCTTCCTTTAGCTTGTTCATTGCTTCCTTCTCTTTGCTTGATAAAGTAGTGAACGCTG